TTGAGCCATTGGACAGTTATGGCAGGGAATGTTGTCAAGGTTAACGGGATGAATAATGCTACCTGATTCATACATAGCATTATCGAACAACGGCGTCGTCTCATGGAAGTACCAGGCTCTATCCAGTTGGGCCAACAGCATCGGTGAAGCGCCAGACTCATACCATAGGCTGGTCCTTATTAATTTGTGAGCAAATTGTCTTCCCAGTAACCACCAAGGATGTGACTGCTCTGATTTCTAATTTTTCCATCCTTTTTAAGGTCTTTATCAGAAGTGTCTTTAAGAGTCTGAAGACCCTATCTAATGACAAATGATTGAAAGACTTATTAAAATTTGGCTTTAGAATTCCTTTCCTAGAAAATTTGTGTTTGTGATAATGTTGATGGGTTAGGGGTTGGGGTAAAAGAAGAGAGACCCAGCAAGGCTCCAGCTCATATTTAGATGTTTAAGAGCTAGAGAGCTGGTTAAGGGAATAAACAATGCCAGAATTATCAAGAGATTCCGCGGTGCTGGTCAGGCTCAACCCACCAACAAGGCGAGAGCTGCCAATAGGTTTTCTGAGGCAACTGTGCACGAAAAAGGCTTGTAGCCCCGGCCATTGTGGCAGATTTTAAGGTGTTAATAAGCATTTGAACAAGAAGGAAAATGAGGCCTTGATTTTAGAGGAAGGGGAGACCCACTACTATTTGAAATACTTGTGGAGACAGCTCCCTAGGACCAAGGGCTGGAAGTTAGTACGGGGAGGCAACAGCATTTTGAATATCAAAGAGAACTTTCTAACAGAACTTTTCAAACATGAAGGCATTGAGCTCTTTCTTCCTGAAAGAACTGAACTAGAAATTGGAAAAAAAAAATCGTCAGGGTGCTTTGGAATTTAGGGGGGCTTCTCTACCAGGCCAGAAGCTGTATCAGATTGCAAGGTGACTTTCAAGTTTGAATAGGAGTCTAGGAGTTAGAAGAGTTATCTTTTGCTAAGTGTGTAAGAGTATCATCCCGTGAGCACATTCCCTATTCAGATATTAAATCTGATGAAGCATCATAGTGCCATCAAATAAAACTGACTTAAAAACACATGTAGGTTTTTAAGATATAAAGATACTTTTTAAATCACATAATCTTTAACTAGAATCAGTACATTTAACTATATAGCAACATGTGCAGCAAAATCACAAATTCAGGAGAAAATTTTAGGTACTGATCTTTCAGTTTCTATTCTCTGTGAAACAAATGTGCACCATTGGTAGGCGGAAGGAAAAATCCCTATTACCAGTGCACTGTATATGTCAGCACCGTTTACAGACTTTTTCCTGAGTAATTAAAAAAAAGGAACAAAGAGCAAATTCCCTCCAACAAGAATGATCCTGAAATGATGGAGTTTAAAACTCAAGTCCTGTAGAAACTGAGTACGCAGGACCAGTGGAATCAAGTTACTTAGAATGCCCAGATGCTAAATAAATTGGAGGAGGAAGTCATGGGTCCTAGGTCAGAAAACTGTTGAGCCAAAATGTGTAAATAGAGCGTAGAAATCTTTGGTTGTGCACTCCTGTATAGGAGTTAATTGGGCTGACCTTGTGCCACATGCCATGTTCCACTAGTCTTCGTGTAAATATGGCTTTGTGGAGTAAAGTTGTTTCTTACGTTGGATGGAAACCTGCTTCCCTGTAAATTCGACACTTTTCGATTCTTCAGTGCCCTCCAGAGCTGCCCACTGGAAGACGGTCTTAGTTTCAATTCTAAATATAAAAGAGTTTCCAAATACTGGATTCGATCACACTGAAAATGAGGACTTAAAAGTAACACTACATGTTCAGCAGTATATTTAATCATTGCATTTATTGCTTCCAAATCTCACACTGTAAATAGATGCTTTTCTCCATACTTTGATTTTTTGACCATACACCTTGAGTTAGGTACACTACACACATCCTCAGCCGCTCTTGGTATCTGGGACAAACAGAATCGTGTTGCAGGATGTGGCCACTCTCAAATACGTTTCTAGCCCTCAAGGGTAGCATGTAGTGAATACAGCTGTGATAGAGTCCTCTTTCCCACCCAGAACCAGAGCTGACTGTTACGGGAATGGAGTTACTTGTGATTATGCAAGTATTCTTCACACTTCACAGTCTCACAGGCAACAGGTGAACAAAAGGTGGTCCACATTTTAAATCAAGTTTGCAGATCACAAGTGTCCATTGACTTTGAATTGATCTCATCTAAATGCTGAATTTAATTTTTTTATATATAATAATGCCATATAATTACCTTCAGTTGTAGAAGAGGTTACAATATTAGATTTTTTTTTGCATGCATAATCCAAGTGTAGTGGAGCAAACCAAATGATAAAGGATTTAGAAATGTTTAACAGAATTTTTCCACAAGAATGAAAGCAATTTGGATAATGAGCACAATTACTTTGTCTCTTACAATGCAACACTGGCTGAAGGATGATAATGAAAGGACAGCGGACTTTAAAGAAAAAAAAGGGACTCAGGGAAGAGGCCATAGATAAAGGGATGTTATTTCCTCTCACCTAAGCTTACAGACAGGAAAAACAGCTCTTTCTGGGGGTACTGAGAATGAACTTGCGAGATCACTGAGACTTGCCTGTCAGAGGTCTGGAACGGAGGGTGAGGCCAGAATGACAGACATGGTTCTCGGACAGTGAAGCCAGGGACTGGCAGGGTCAGGAAGGTGTGACCAGTCCGGTCATTGACTGGGTGTGCCGTGCCTGTGGTTGGGTTCCTTGAGGATTTGGAACACAGAGAACCATTTCTCAGTACGGCAGATAGATCAAATGAAAGCGCTGTCTCTACAGAAGACGCAAAATTAGAGTGAACAAGATCAGTGATTAGTGGAGCCAAGCCCAGCACAGACCGCGATAGCACCAAGGATCAAGAACAGGAAATAAAGGAAGAGTCTGGGGTTTTGTGACTAGACAGAGTACTTTTCCCTGGTGTAAAGGGATGGCAATAAGAAGAAAATGGTTAGCAAGTAAACTGCAGCAATTGTAGAAAAAAGGCAGAAAGCCTTGTGTGTTAGGAAGTATATTAAATGCAGAGGGAGCTAGGCTTGATAACAAAGATATTTCTAGAAACTTTACCATACATCAATGGCCAATGAGAAGACTGGTGGACATCAGGATGAGAGAATAATAAAACAAGATCAGCAAGGGATTCTATGCCCCTTTAGTTTTTCCTTTCTGGAAAGGATGAACATTTCCTAGAGTCAATAATGAAAACAATTATTTATTTTAAACATACTTTGATTATTTATATATGCTTAAATCAACAGTTCAGTCAATCCACGTATAGGTCATCCACTGTGGTATGGTCTTTCTTAAATAATTGGTTTCCAAAGCCACAAATAGACCACACAAAACTGGTCATTGAATTTTCTGTTTTTCTTACACACACACACACACACACACACACACACACACACACACACACACGGCAGAGCCAACTTAGGTAGGAAGGAAGACCACCAATTTGACAGAATGCTTCTCAGCCAACTGTCATCTGATTAGGGATAGTCTCTGATTTTGGAATTGCAGAGTAATGTGGTCTAATATCCTGTTCTATTCTGAAAAAAACATTTGAAGCTTATACAATAAATTTATATGGCATAATAAAAGGACCTTCAGTTAGGTATATTTCCACTTTTAAAACCTAATATGGTTCAATCTTTTAAACTTAGGAAAGAAACATACGCCTTTTGCAACGCAATCTTCTCACACCTGAGAGCAAGGATGATTGCTACTCTTTCTTTACTGGGGTTAAAGGTGATTAAACATCTTAACGGATATGGGTTGCGAATGCGATCAATACAAAAACCTAGTGAGTTTTTTAAATTTAGAAAATAATCCACTATGAATATCTTATGAAAATAGTAAACCCACACGGTGCTTTATAGTTGGGATATATCACCAAGGAAAACTGATACGGTACTAACTGAAGCACAGAAATTTCTTACTACAGATCAAATTTGGATATTTACAAATTTAAGAAATGCAACAGAATGATACACTTATCTAGGGATCAGATTTGCTGCGTCCTCAATTATGCTGGAATGTGGCAAGGATACAGAAAATGTTTGTTAGGACTACCATCCCAGAATCCCAAAACTTCACCCAGTGGGTTACATGTAAAGATAGACTGAGAGGGGGTGTAACTTACAAGTAGTCATTAAATCAAGAATGTTCATTTACTGAGCTTCAGCCAGAAAATAAGTAAGATATGCTGCCACCAGAAATCGAAACCAACCAGCACAGAGAACTACCAGAACCAGCAATTTTAAAAGCATTCCAGTAATTGCCAATGGCATTATGGCATTATAACATGGTACATTATGCTCCTAATGAAGAGTTGAATCGTAAAAAATGTCAAGCCATGTTTAGCGCAAGTTTAGAAGGCTGGGAAATACACTGCATTTTAGAAAAATTTCTGACCAAAAAAAATGATGATGAAAAAAGGAAGAGGGGTTAAAAGAAGCTAAGCAGTGATCAGAAAGGACGGGAATTCAGTAACTCTTACACCTGTAGTAACAAGGTAGGCTTCTCACCTCTTTCTAACTTAATTTTCACTTCATATAATATAGTGTGCAAATAATTCACTTTCACTACCTACAGAGATTTTTTTCCCCTCTAAATAGTACAAATCTGTGAACACTGATTTGTTCTTACTAGTCTTTCACGGATAAATTACTCTCAAAATCAAGACATCAATGCCTATGAGTCTTATTTACATATGAAAATACTAAGTATTCTGGATTCTCCAGGATTAAATTATATTCGATATAATTTTTGGGTAAATGTATCTTGTATTTAAGTTTCCAGCAACCGCTAAGTCATATATGCTATACATTCATAGTAATTCTCTAGCAGAAGGTACATTTTATTTTACTAAGAGGTAAAGACCTTTTTACCAGCTATTAGGCTTAACAGATTTATGGTAGGCTTCTAGAACTGGGATAGTTTTAGGATGTCTAAGCACATACGCCTTTCAGAAATGATTAGAAAACCATGGGTCTCTGTATTTATTAAACTGAATCACCTGGCAGTAAAATTCCGTTAAGGCTCGTGGCATGGGTGAGACTTCCTCCCACTCAGATCTGCCACTGTGGTAGACTTGTACTTCATCTGTGATCTCATCTGGTGCGTAATCGCCACCCAAGATATAAATTTTGTCTTCAATTCCAACTGCGCCTGCATTAAAGCCTGCACATTCAAAAGAGCCTTCACCCTTCCAGACACAAGTATCTGGACAAAAGCTATAAACCTTATAGGTGGAAAGGTCACATATGTACAGTGTGCAGTTTACTGGGACAGCTTTGATTAGTGTCGCATGAAAAAACTGCCCAAACTCTGCTACGAGTTCAGACCACTGATCGGTGGTCACGTTGTATTTGAAAAAGCAATCAAGTGACGGGTTAAAGGCATCTGTAATCTCTACCTCTGACCCAAGAACATAAATGACATTTTGGCAGGTGCTCGCTTCAGGGTAGTATATGCCCCTGGGTAACGGGCTGACAGACATCCATTCTTTAGAAAGAGGGTCGTAAGACTCGACATCTAAGAGGCTTTTAATGTCCTGAGACCCTTTCGTCTTTCCACCTATGACAAATAATCTGTTGAGAGCCAGAACTGATGTATGCATGGTTCTTGGTGTCTTCATAGCTGATACCAGGAAGAAATCGTTCTTCACTGGACAGTAGCACCAGGTTTGGTCAGTCGCATCATGATAGGACTCTGCGATATGAAGCCGAACCGTTCTACAGCACGGCCCTTTGCACCCGCCCGTCAGGAATATCTTCTCTCCGTAACTAGACAGACTAGACCCTGGCAAGTCAATCAGGTGTGACTGTGGCAGCACTTTCCACGAGTCACTGTTTATATTGTAGCAAAAGGTATATTGGTCTCCACCGTTTTCCTCAGTTTTGTGAACAAATATGTATTTTTCAGTTGTGGATGGTCGAGCGTCAGGGAAGAGTCCACCAGAACCTTGCACACACTTAACAGCATCCATGATTATGTCAAAACAGTTTGTGCTTTTGAGTAAACACTCTTCGTTGAGCAGACAGTTTTGAAGGGTCTCCTCGGATAACTGATGTAATCTAACTTTTTTAATCAAGTAAGGCAGATGCTTTTGCCTTGATTCTAAGTTGTGTTTGGTCCAGCTAAGGACCACTTTCAGTACAGTCTCTTCTTCAGGGACATTCAGTTCATCGGATTCCAGACATTTCTGCAGTACTCCGAAGTTCATCTCTAGGAAATCACTGGATTTAAACAGTAAGGAAAAGTGGTGCTGTACAAAGTACAGCGCGTGGTCAAACAAGCGGGGAGAGCCGTAGCTGTCTGACAACGATAATAACTGTAAACAATTGACAAGGTTAATACTCTTTATTAAGAAGTCACTGCAAGCTTTGGCTAGGAAGGAAACTTGAAGAAATGATGACAACTGGAAGAACATTTCCACGTTATCATCCGTTATCTTGGTTTTCCCAGTGTAGGCATAGTCAAGAAACGCTTTTACTGCTTTGGAGGACAGATTAGTGATGGTGACGCTCCCACCGTCTCGCTCTTTCATGTTCACTTCAAACATGGCCCTGCAGAAAGAAAGAGAACACAGGAGAAAAGGAAAACGGGAGTATGTGATTCCGTGGTACTTTTCAAGGTTACCTTAAAGACGTGTCCTTTACCCTCAGGTTGATAGAATGTTTCACAAATCTCAGGTTTATGGTTATGCAATATATTTTTAAACCATCTTAATAAATTATTTGAATATCTAGCACAGTTACATACCATATCATTTATCTTTAAAACCCACAGACCACGTAGCTACCACACTGCAGAATACGTACATTACAGCTGCGGTACAGCATTTACTCCAAAGAAGGCTATATATAAAAAGATTCATATTTTGTAAGCCAATTTCAATGCTCTTAAATATCATTCATAAAATCAGGGTAAGGTCTCTCTGATGGCTGAATTTCTCTTTTTATGAGTTAATTAGTATCAGCTCTGCAGGTGATAAGTACAGATATTTAAAATAGATAGTGCTTCTGGGTTTAGGATTTAAAAGTGTCTTTCAAATGAATTTTCAGTTTGGCAGCAGTGACACACGTGGAAGATGGGATACAGTGAGGTATCAGATGTCTCTAATGAGTCTGCCTGCGTGGAAAATCCACAACACATCTCTAAAGAGACACGTTTTATACAGCACTTTAGGGAGAAAAGAGAATGTGATGTCATAAAGCTAAATGCCAAACCAAAAGTCTCAAAGTAAGTTTGTGAAGAAATAACCACTGAGAGATGGGGGGGGGGGGGTCCTCAGATCTGAATAATCAGACCAGCCCAAGAGTTCTTCTGAGTTGTAATTTTTCCCCACCTGGCAGAGGTGATAGACTCTGAGGAAGTGGGAACTTTAGGGACTCAGTTTAAGCTAAAATATAAATTATGTGGAAATGGTTGGGCAGGAGACTACGACGTATGTATTTTACTATTGGTTTTGGTAAGACCAATCTTGCCACCCATTCCTATGTTAGTTAACATCATATCCAGAATCGTTCACTTTTACACAGACTCGCTATGGCGGTTGTTGGTAGCACAGTGAGTGGAGGTCGAGATTCAAGAGAAAGAGCTACAACAGAGAAGCAAGGACTTCCAGTAGTTGGACATTCAGTAGGAGTGGAGATTGACTGGTTTGGGTTCTGGTATAATACTGCTTTGTGTCTGCACCGAATTGTCCAGGATACCTCCGTGAGCAGTGCTCCTCGGTGCTCAAGTACTCTGGGGGGAATACAATTTGGTTTTTTGGGTTTTTTTTAATGTTTATTTATTTTGAGAGAGAAAGAAAGCACAAGCAGGCTCCGCGCTGTCAGCCAAAGCCCGATGCGGGGCTTGAGCTCATGAGCTGTGCGATCATGACCTGAGCCAAAACCAAGAGCCAGACACTTAACTGACTGAGCCCCCCAGGTGCCCCTAAACCAAATCAGTTTTTAGGTCCACTCTAGAGGGTAATGAAAACTGTTTAAGAAGCACTAGTATTATCCAAATGAAAAATCTGAGGAGACTTCCAAATATGGAAGGAACACCCCTTAGGAAAAGGAAGGACAACAAAACAACTTCCCACTGGACTGTTCTAATACACAAAAAAATACGGTTACAAAAACTATACACATTATACACTATTTCAATAACGTAGATCAAGTCAGAAATGTTAAACTGTGATGATAATTACACTGACTTATGAGAACACGGATAATCAGGTTAGGGTAATAGTGAGAGCCTGGCCTCTAGAATCTGGCTGCCTGGGTGGGTATCGGGCCTATGTCACTAATTAGCTGTGTGACCTCGGTTGGGGGGGGGGGGCACTTCTTAACTGTGCTGCAAATTCTTCATCTGAAAATGGGTACACAGGGGCACCTGGGTGGCTCAGTCAGTTAAGCGTCCGACTTCGGCTCAGGTCACGATCTCGCGGTATGGTTGAGAGCCCAGCCTCCGTCGGGCTCTTGTGCTGACCGCTTTCAGAGCCTGAAGCCTGTTCGATTCTGTCTCCCGGTTCTCTGCCCTCCCGTTCATGCTCTGTCTCTCTCTGTCTCAAAAATAAATAAACGTTAAAAAAAAATTAAAAAAAAAAAAAAGATGAAAATGGGTACACATATATCTACTTTGCTCAGTTGAGGAGGAATGAGTTAATCAATGCAAAGTATTAGCTATTATTATCATTTTTAGAAAATATTTCCTATCAGATCCTGTGTGTTTTTATCACCAGCTTCCACATTTTCTTTGAGAAGATATATGTAAGATCATCTTTCCATTCTTCATCAGCTTGAAAGTTTCCAGTTAACATCGATCTTGAATTTACCATAATCATAAAGTGGCTGTACAGTATGTGTGATTCCTTTTCAGTCTTCTCTCCATGACTTTACATCTCATTCAAAAACTTTAATTTTCCAAAATCATTATAAAGTGCATTTATCATGCATTATGCACTTTCCTGCTATTTCATATTTTTCCTCCCAATATCCAGTAAATTTGATAACACAAATATTATGAATTAGTGGCCTTATCATATAAGGATGTAAATGATAGAATTTCAGTCTAAATTTGTAAATAGTTTTATATGAACTTTAGTAAACTCACAGTAAATTTAGTATTCCTTTAGTAAAATGCTATATATAATCAATATAATACTATATATAATATATCTAATCTAGGTCATTATAAAACTGCCGTTTGTGTTACTTCAAAGCAGGGAGAAAAATTTTAAAATATATTGTTCTGTTTTCACAGCAGTTTTTTTAAAAATTTAAAGTAGATCCATAAAAGCTAGGAGTACCTGAAAATATTGTGGCCAAAAACTAGGTGCAGATACATTTAATTAATAAATAATTTCTGGGGCACCTGGGTGGCTTAGTCGGTTGAGCATCCGACTTTGGCTCAGGTCATGATCTCACAGTTCGTGGGTTCAAGCCCCGCGTAGGGCTCTGTGCTGACAGCTCAGAGCCTGGAGCCTGCTTCGTTCTGTGTCTCCCTCTCTCTCTGCCCCTAACCCACTCACATTCTGTCTCTATCTCTCAAAAATAAATAAACATTAAAAAAAAATTATTTCTCCATGAAGAGTAGAGGACTTCCAATTGAAATGCTTACATAAACTTATTTTGTTAACAAGAAAACACTGTAGGGAAATCAGCTTGTGTGTTTACTAGAGTTTTTCCATTTTTGCTAGGTTTGGAAACAGTAATAATAATAATAATAATAACAATAATAATAATAGGTTGACTATAGTGGGCACTGTCCTAATCATTACATATACATTATTTAAGTCTCATCATGACTCTGTGAATTAGATTCTGGTTTTGTGGTCTTAATTTTTACAAATCAGGAACCTAAAGCCTGAAGAGATTAAGTCACTTGCCTAAGGTCATGTCTGGTAAGTGGCAGAGCCAGGATTTAGATTGAGGGCATGTGTATTAAGGGGCCAAGTACTTAATCCCTATACCATCACTTCCTGTCATGACGAGGTGGCAGGATGGGGAGGGAGCAGAATGGAGCTACCAGGAAGAAGACCCGTGGAATACAAGAGAGCTGGGACACTGGTGGCACCAGGGTGTGGCAGAGCATAGGGACAGCGAGGGCTCCAGTGGGACTGGGAGAACAGCTGAGGTTACAGGGTCAGAAGCAGACTCCAGTTAGGCCAGAGGCGCTTCCCCAGTGAGCCAGGTGCGGCCCTGGCCCACTGCTCCCACCTCCAGCAGGGGACCCCCCAGGGGCAGGGGAGTATCAGTACTAAACTTTTAGAGGACTCCTCCAGAGCAGTAACGGTGAGGTCTAATCAGATGCTGTCAGTAAAACAGGAGTTAAAGTAAGGATGAGTGTATTTACATCTTAAATCTTACTATGTTTTTACCAATTTTATTTACTAGAGATTTAAGGCCTGCTTACTTTGAATACAAATTACTTCCAAAACTGAATATAATGCAAATACCACAACTGGGATGAAGTTTATGGCAGTATGACTGGAGGGCTGGAGGCCAGGATGTCACCAAGAGAGGTCTGTGTGTGACCAAGAGGCCTTGCGGGATGGTATGACCGTGAAACAGCTGCCACCGTAGCAAGGTCATGCATCCAACACTTAACCTTGCAGACTCCACAACCACTGTCACCACAGTGGAATCGTACAGGCTCATGACTAGGACATTCTATTCAGAACCAAATTCTATCCAGAAGGTTGCCTAGAATCAGAAAAGTTGGGTATTCTCCAGATATGCTTCTGGAGGTACTTTTCCCCTTTGTCAAACAAAGAGAGGAGAAACTTTGAAATATCTGTATGAGCCCCCCTCTCCCTGGAATAATCCTTGGATACAGTACATGACTGAAATCCGTTTTCCTCTCAGCCTCTTTGTTTTCTTTGAACTATACTTCCATATTTTATCCATCCTTTCCTCTTTTTCTAAATGGCACAGTGCAAGAATTCCCCTAAATAAAATGGACTCTGTATCAAAACAAGTTTCTCCCCCCCCCCCCCCCCCCCCGAACATTTCAAAGAACCAGTGTCCAATACAACATTGGGAAATGCTGATCTGGGAAGACCTGAGTTTTTAAAAAAGGTAGTCTTAAATTTTTATATTCAAAAATCATTAGTTAATCTAGGTTATAATTAGCTTTTTTTTTAAGAATTAAAAATTACCACTGCATGCTCCTGTAGGGGAGAAATTCAGCAGTTATGACAAATAAGTGTAATAACACAAAATCTGAGTCATAGACAAGGTACAGTACCTGAAAAAGTCACTGCATGCTGCTAAGACACAACGATGACATGGGATTGTTTCATCTTTCATGATTATTTTGAAATCATAAAAGACATTTTGTTCTCTAAAATTCTGTAGTACACTTAAGATTTTCTGTCCATGATCTTCAGACACAAGGAAGTTGTTTTTCTTCTCAGATGGAAGTCCATTACATGAGTTTCGTTGGTTGAGATGATATGAATTATCCATAGCCAATTCCAATTGTTCTTAGAACTGGAAAGAAAAACAATCACTGATGTAGTAGAGTCCTGACGAAATTTCAGATCCAAAATTTGTTTAATGTCAATTACACAAAAATTCTAAGATCATAATAAACCTTGATCTAAACATTTGTTTTCATGAATTTCTTTTGAACTTTTATAAATATTGAGCTCACTAGAAAATAAAAGACTATATTAAATTGAGGCATAAAGTTCAAGCCATACAATTGTGTCAAATAGCACCATTTATAATTTATATATATAGCTCATATAGGATCTCCCCACATGACTAGTCTTGTTACACATAAGAGGTATTATTTTATAGTAGCCATCACATGGGTATATACCCAACACATCCCTCTGCCCTCCCATCCCTTTTCTTCTGGTAGCATAGCTGATGTTAAAGTATCGATCTTGAAGCATAGCCTTCTGGGGTTCAACTTTCAAGACAGAAATAATTGAAAAAGATCAGTGTTACACTGTGTTAACTAGTTAGGGCCTTTAGAAAGGAACAAAAAGGCAAGCATTGATACATGTTGGCCTGTTTGGATACCTTTTCTTTTTGTTGTCTGATTGCTATGACTAGGACTTCCAGCACTATGTTGAATCCAAGCGGTGAGAGGGAACAACCTTGTCCTGTTCGTGACCTCAGAGGAAAAGCTCTTAGTTTTTCCCCATTGAGGATGATGTCAGTCAGCTGTGAGGTTTTCATAGATGGGCTTTATGTTGAGGTATGTTCCCTCTAACCCTATTTTGTTGAGGGGTTTTTATCAGGAATGGATGTTGAACTTCATCAAATGCTTTTTCTCCTTCTACTAAAATGATCCAATGGTTCTAGTGCTTTCTTTTATTAATGTGGTGGATCATGTTGATTGATTTGTGAATACTGAACCACCCCAGCAGCCCAGGAATAAATCCCACTTGACTGTGGTGAATGATTCGTTTCAATGCATTGTTGGATTCCAGTCGCTAGTATTTTACTGAGAATTTTTGCATCCATGTTCATCAGGGATATTGACTGTAGTTCCCTTTTTTAGTGGAATCTTTATCTGGTTTTGGTATCAGGGTGATGGTGGCCTAAACAAATGAATTTGGAAGTTTTCCTTCCATTATATTTTTTGGGAAAGTTTAAGAATATTAACTCCTCTTTAAATGTTCGGTAGAATTCACCTGTGAAGCCATCTGGTCCCGGATTTTTGTTTGTTGAGAGGTTTGTGATTTTGGACTCAATTTCGTTGCTGGTTATTGGCCTTTCAAATTTTCTATTTCCTTCTGTTTCAGTTTTGGTAGTTTCTATGTTTCTAGGTATTTACCCATTGCTTCTACATTGTCTAATTTGTTGGCTTACTGCTTTTTAGAATATTCTCTTATGATTGTATTTCCACGTTGTTGGCTGTTATTTCTCCTTCATCATTTGTCATTTTATTTAGTTCTCTCTCTCTCTCTCTCTCTCTTTTTTTTTTTTTTTTAACCAAGTTGGCCTATTTGAAAGCAGGACAGAAAACAGTATAACTTCACTAAAAAAGGCCTTTTAAACATGCGATCGGAAATCTAAGACAGTTGAAGGCCAGACAACCGTGACTTTGCCAAACTGCAGATTCAATTCTATGCAAACAAGTTTACCCACCAAAAAGCAAGGAAGTGGGAAACAGGTTCTCTACCCGTTCAGAGAAACTTGTCTAGTAGCAAACTAGAAATGATCCCTGAGTCTTCAGAAAGGAAAAGAAGCCTGAGAACTAGGGAGCCAAAGAAATAGGGAACATTGATTCCCTTAGTATGTTTTTATCCCAGTTATCTAGTGCTTTGCAAATCATCCTAAACTTAGTGGCTTAAGACAACAGTTTATTGTATCTCATGGTTCTGTGGGTTTCACTGGAGCTTCTTGCTCTGGGACTTTCATATACATAGAGTCAGATGGGAGCTCTGGCTGAGGTCATCTGAAGGCCTGACTGGGCTACAGGTCCAACATGCTTCCTTCTTTCCCATTCTGGATGCTTCAAATGGGATGGCTAGAACAGACGGTGTCTGTCTATGTGCACTCTGTCCATGTGGGCAGCCTATACTCCCTCATAGCATGGCAGTGTCACGGTGGCTGGGTTCTCCCAGAGAAAGCGTTTCAGGCCCGGGTGGGAGCTATATACCCAGTGGTCCTACAACTTCAATTAAAGCTCTAGGACTGAGCCATCTACTGCTCTCTTGTCCAATATAGTAACCATGAGCCATGTATCACTATTTAAATGTAAATTACCTAAAATTCAATTAAATTAAAAATGTAGTTGCTGTAGCCATATTTTAAGTAATCAGTAGCCATATGTAGTGATGGTTACTTTTACGTGTCAACACAACTGGGCCATGGGGTGTCCAGATATGTGGCTAAGTAGTATTTGTGGGTGTGTCCGTGGGGGTGTTTCTGGAGGAGGTTAACATTTTTTTTTTTCAACGTTTTTATTTATTTTTGGGACAGAGAGAGATAGAGCATGAACGGGGGAGGGGCAGAGAGAGAGGGAGACACAGAATCGGAAACAGGCTCCAGGCTCCGAGCCACCAGCCCAGAGCCTGACGCGGGGCTCGAACTCACGGACCGCGAGATCGTGACCTGGCTGAAGTCGGACGCTTAACCGACTGCGCCACCCAGGTGCCCCATATTTAATTGGGACAGTAAGTAAAGCAGGCTGCCCCGCCCTCCCCCCCCCCACCCCGTAATGTGAATGGGACTCATCCAGTCCATCCCAGAATAGAACAAAAGGCCAAGAAGGAATTCTGTCTGTCTGCCTGGATGTCAAGGAGTTGGAGCTTCAGGCTTCTGCTCTGAACTGAGTCATGGATGGTAACGGTGCTGTCGACTCTCCTGTGCCTCCAGCTTGCGGGCCGCAGATCTTGGGATTTCTCACACTCAAGGATCATGGAAACCAACTTCTTATAGCAGATCTGTCCGTCTATGTCTCCACCTGGTTTCCCTCGAGAACTCCACCAACACTTGTGGCTGTTCTGTTGTACAGCAGAAATGCACAATATTTTCCTTATCACGGAAGTTCAGTTGGATGGCTTCTGTAGTATATGAAGGAAGAACAGCGTGTGCACATGCATGAGAGAGCATGTGCGTGTACAAGTGGGGGAGTAATAGGATGGAATTGGCAGTATTATTGGAGAAGTAAGTTACCTGCAGTAATTCAGTGAGCAGTGTTCTAAAGTAGTTGTAAGTAGGGAGACATAACAAGTGTGGGTGTCAGGAAGGGAGAGAGATAATTAGAGGTTTGGGATCAGTTCTGAAGAAAAGGCAGGCAGAAAACAGTTGTATTGGTCAGAGGTCTCTAGAGAAACAGAGCCAGTGAACCTACAGGTTACAAGCCTGTTGGTTTTGTGTAGACACACATGCACACACATGCTGGAACTTGTGTGTCTATAAAAAATAAGGACTTGGCTCACAAAATTATAGAGGTCCCAGGATCTGTGGTTGGCACTCTGGAGACCCAGGGCAGCTGGTGATGTAAGCTCCAGTCTGAAAGCTGGGCAGCCTGGAGAGCTGGGAACAGCTGACTTTTTTCAGTTTGAGTCCAAAGGCAGCAATGGTTGTCTCAACTCAGCACTCGGGTAAGGTTCGTCTTACTCAGCAATTTTGTCCTATCCAGGTCTTCTACTGATTGGATGAGGCCCACCCTCATGAGGAAGGACAACCTACTTCTCCCAGTCTGTCTGTCCAAGTGTTAACTTCATCTGGAAGCTCACTCAACAGAAACACCCACAATAATATCTGACCAAATGTCTGGGCACCCTATGGCCCCGTTAAGTTGATATAGTAATTAATCATCACAACACTACAAATCTTAACAATGTTAACAATATCTGACCTTAGATGGAAAAGAACATATAACCCAAGTTAGAGTGGGGTGCACAGAGAATTGTGTAGGGCTGCCACCCCAGGAGTAATTCTTCACCTCGCAAGGCATGCCTCTTAAGCCACTTGTAAAACTCTGTTATTAAAATTATGGATATTTTTTCGTCCTTTTCTAAGAACTATAAAGTCATCCATTTTCCCAGGGCTGCGATATAATGTGAGCAGTAGGATGAACAGGCTTCAGAATTGGAGAGATGAGCTCCGTGCTGTTTCAGCACTTGACTTGTGAAATATCTGAGGCCAGGAACTTCTGGTCTTTGATTCTCATTTTTTCCTTCTGTAAAATAGGGACAGACTGTACCTGTCAGTCGTTGTACTATTGAGAAGAGTAAAGATAATACATACTTGAGCATTAAGTATATGCTAGATAAGTGGAATTTGGTACTTTCTACCAAAAATTTAACAGAACAGCCAAGGAAATCACTTAATTGATATTAATCAGGAGGTTTACATTCCTCACGTAGTGGGGAGAAGAGTGAGAGAGGCAGCTTTCTAGTAATTGCTAAGCTGAAGAGAAGAGTTGAACACAAGTGCTGTCACTGTAAGAGTTTCTCTGAAGTGCCAGATCAGTGGACAGAAGACATAACCCTGCTTGAGACTTGAGCCAGCCTCTCCTACTGCCTCCGTGACACCGGAGGGAGAGGCCAAGGAGTGCGTCCACTACATAAAAGAGTACACGGGGCAGAGAAGCAGGCATGATCTATATAAGAGAGACAGACGTGACTTAATGCTGTGCAAAGGGTCAAAGCATCTTCTCAGCCACACAGTGAGACCAAGGTGTATCTCCTGGTCTGTTTCTCACGTCTAGCAGTGGGCTGGTGCATCAGTGATCTGTAACAGCAATGCAAGGTCTCTGCTCATCCTGCCTCAGAGAACCACAGAATTGGTTGGGAGATGCAGTCCACATCGCCTAGACACCCCCTGGAACTGCTCTCAATTCTCATCCATTTAAAGGTATGTATTTAAATCTCTCTGACAGAGGAGGTTAGATGCTGAAGATTGAAATACACACTCATCTCCTATAATCTTAGATTCTTCTTGGTTGTAAAAGTTCTTTCAAAGTTTACGATGATAGGTGTTGACAAGGCTGTGTGATCCAC